TTATCTTTATCCCCGCTATTTCTTCCGGCAGAAATCATTATAAGGCACACTGAGCCTGACTCAAGGTCAAGGAATTTTTAGGGGGTTGTATCTTCCCCCTTTGGTAGTTAGCAGTCAACAGAATTCGTTTGAAGCCAAAGCTCCAAAAATAACCGCTAGCGGACGATATATTTTTTAATACATTTCCTACTGTTTAATATCAGAAATGTAAGAGTTTTTTAGTGGGTGAGTGTGTGAATATGCTATTTATTTCGAANCGGGGAGTGGAAAAGTTGTTTGTAAATTATGGTGCATCACTCTCCGTAAAAACAAGAATTTTCTACTGTTTGTTTCCAACGCAAATATAAAATGTATCAGATATTTTAAGACTTTCGTCAAAATATTTCGAAACCTATTTGAAATATCTTCAAAAGTCAAATTTTTTTTTTATAAATGAAATTAGTTTTTAAAAGTATATTTTCTAAAGAACACCTCAGATAAAAGAAGAGTTTAAGCTTAAAAGGCTTACATAAAAATGTTAAAAAAGCGTTTCAACGTTATCAAAATAATAAGGTTTTTACAGTTTTCAAATAAGTTCACCTCAGGTAAATTTAAATATTTCTCCGAAATATTTTGGCGGATATAAGATATAATAAATTTTATAATTCCTGTGTAGCGTCCCCAAGAAATTTCTTTAAAGTTTTAAAATTTTCATAGTTGGCTTTATTTTTAACTAGGAACAAAATAAAAGGGTGCCCCATGCAAATTAAGATGTTGATATTTTTAAGGGCCACCCTAGTGGGAGTACTAAAACTCTTGTGTGCTAGCCATGGTAAGTAGAAAAATTTGAAGAATCCCCTTATCTTTATCCCCGCTATTTCTTCCGGCAGAAATCATTATAAGGCACACTGAGCCTGACTCAAGGTCAAGGAATTTTTAGGGGGTTGTATCTTCCCACTTTGAAGTTAGCAGTCCACAGAATTCTTAAAGCGTTTGAAGCCAAAGCTCCAAAAATAACCGCTAGCGGACGATATCTTTTTTAATACATTTCCTACTGTTTAATATCAGAAATGTAAGAGTTTTTTAGTGGGTGAGTGTGTGAATATGCTATTTATTTCGAAATGTTTCATTTTTCTTGAGATCCGCAGGCAGTCTTTACACACACACATTTCCTGCCACCTATAAAAATAATTTTCAAAATTTGTACACATGTAGTCTAAATGCCAGCTGCGTAAAGTAAATTATTTTTGTTTTTATACTGAAATCACTAATTTAATTGAAATTTTACACAATTTAATAAAATTTGTTACTTTCGTTTAAATAATTTATTTATTTTTGTTACATTTGAAATCATGGCATTGAACTGCGCGCTTCATGCGTGCAAAGGTTAGTATAAGAGCCGTCTGAGATAATTGCATGCGCTGACCCATTTTGAAAGTTCGTTGCTTAAGTCTTTAGTATGAAATTTATTAATTAAATGAAACTTGATTGCATACTATTTGCTAGACGAAAAATATGTACTACTTTAACTCATCGCACATGTTTTCCCAATATTACACACTAGTGCTCTTCATACCTACATAAAACATTGATTTTGAATATCCCTTTGCTGCACTATGTATGGAAATTCCTCTCTGTTGGCATTACACTTAGTTGCAAATCCCTGAGCGACAATGCGTTACCAGCAAACTCGCCACCAAACACTAAACGCAAACCTAAGTGCCACGCACAAAAATTTCACAAGTCACTAAAATCNGAATATCCCTTTGCTGCACTATGTATGGAAATTCCTCTCTGTTGGCATTACACTTAGTTGCAAATCCCTGAGCGGCAATGCGTTACCAGCAAACTCGCCACCAAACACTAAACGCAAACCTAAGTGCCACGCACAAAAATTTCACAAGTCACTAAAATCAAATGCGAAAATTCTAGCAACGCCCGTAGTGATTTTTACCATGACAAACGTTCTGCGTGCTCTACCTACAACGAAAAGTACCTGCCAGCGCAATCCGCCCGGAACACTTGTGCAAATGCAAGAATTTCAAACTAATTGAGTAACCATGCTGTGTATGTGGCAAGTGGGAAATCCGAAACCTACATACATATGTAAATCAGTATTCTAATATTGCCATGAAAAATCCAAGCGCATTGTTTAGCTCAAACAACCCCTGTGTTGATTGCCTAGACAGTACAAAAACACCAGCAATAGCTCAGCTCAACTGAACCTGAATTACCGTTGCGCATAGTTTCCTATTAGCCTAGAACTTGCCAAAATTATAAAGTTTTACATTTCATAAATACCTGCAATTGCACAAGGGTACACATTCACACACACACATATATTATGCCAAACGTACCATTGTTACCTTGCGCTGCGTGATCCTCTCTTCACTTCGAATTCCCTTGCATGCCATATACTTGCACGTGCAACATTTAAGCCTGCATGTGTAGCGAATTGCAATTTTTCACGGGCATGTTTGAACTTGTTCAATTCAGTTGAATTTCATGTACATCTTTTTTGCAAGAGAATACTATTTAACTTTTTTGGAATTTTCGTTGGTTGGCTTAATACTGTGGCGGCAGGTAGTCGCATTTCGCCCAATATATGTAGGAACGCGAGTGAGTGCTCAGTGCAGAATTGGCAGAAAATGCGTATGCATTGCATTTATGTAGTTGTTGCTTGTTTATTGTACCTTGCAGTAAATCCTGTTCTGGGAATTGGAAGATTGGCCGCAAAGAGATATGAATGTTGAGACTTAGGTATTTATGTACGTATTTTTGGTAAGAGTTGTGTGTTGTTGTGGCTCAAGAAGATTTAATGAAGCAGTGATAAATTGGGATTGAACAGTGTTGCTACTTCAACAAGAAAAAAGGGTTTTTTTTTGTAGTTGCAAGGGAGATTATATGGCCTGGCTATTGGAAGTTTATTTGCCTCAATTCATACAAAAAAATCAATATACTATATGTATTTGCGAAACGAGGAGCCAAAAATAGTAATACTACGCTTTTAGTTTTTCTCTCTGACGTTACGATTTTTCTTTAAAGGATTTTGAAATTTCGAAGACATGATGAATTCAAAAAATCATTTTAAAAACTCAGTGAAATGGTGAAATGGTGAAATTATAAATTATGGGTATTATGTAAGAGAAAATATTTTGTTGAATTAAAATTTTAAAATTTTTAACGACGACCAGTTACTGAAACCCCTCTTTTAGAATTTTGTTCTTGAATATCCTTGAAAATCGTCAATATGTATTTTTGAAAATAATATTTATATCAAAGACTAATATACACACGACCACATCCTCGAATTTCGCCTACTTTATTTTAACCTACAAAATTTAAAATTACTTAAAAGGGCATTTTCAAGACGTATTCATCCTTATGAACCAAAAGATTAAATTTTTTAAATTCTACAGAATTTTTTCTTCGATTTGATACCCTTATTATTTTCCACATTGCACTGAATTTTATAAATTAATTTTTTAAATGTTTCAAAAATTTTAGAGTCCTTTTACAAAAGTCCTGACGTCAGAGAGAAAAACTAAAAAAGCAGTTTCACTATATCTGGCCCATAGTTTTGTGAGAATATTTATTGTTTCGTGTGTGTTTTAAATTCTGAGGCTTCTCCTCGAGCAAGGGTTTGTTGGGGTGCTCACCTCTGTGGCATCCCACCATAAACTGCGTGCTTTGGTGAGCCCACAAAAAGTATCCGGACCATGAAATACTGTGGTAACCCCTTGTTTCACTAGGCAGTGAGCCTCCTCTTTGCCGTCATGTTCCTCATGAAGCAGTCATGTATTAGCTGAGTATTTGTTTTGTGGGACTTCAGTGCCCGCTGATCTGCCTGACCGTCAAAATGCAAACAAAATGTAGATATCCTCTTCACAATTGCTTTTTTTGTATTGAGCTTAAATTTCCACTCTATTTTTGTCAAACAATTAATTTATATACATGTAATTTTAATTTAAAAAAAAAAACAGCTTCCAATATAATTCTCGTGAGCCTAGAGTAAAATTTTGCAACAATTTTTTCTTACCTTTTTTAACCTTTTGACTCTTACCATATGGGTAATTTTAAGCCAGTCTTGATAAAATGGCAATCAGAGGGTTAAAATGATCTATAGGCATTGCAAGCATTCGATTTTACTAAGAGTCACCATATAAAAAATCTTCAGTTCACCAAATTTTCGGGCATAATTTGAATGTACTGTGAGCATTTTTCTCTTACTAACCATTATTAGTAAATTATCAAGGAAGCATTTAAAATGCACACCTGCGATTGAACAAAGGAGCGTATACTACAATTGGAAGCTGTTTTTTAAGCCTTCAACTACGATATATTCTCGACCAGATTACAAGGATTCTGGACATGATCTACGTATCTTGCATCTAAAATAATCCATTGTAGTGCCTCAAACAAACTGGCCTCAAAGCAATATTTGGCCTTTATCTACTATGGAACCTCATCTCAATCACGTTTGTGCATGTTGCTCTTGAAACTCCTTAAAAAAGACACTTAAAATTCTAGCCTGCAAAAAAAATATTTCCCTTTTCCCTCTACTCGCACACCATCAGCCGCCAGAGGCAACATTTTGCTGCACTGCCACTGCGAAATTTATCTCAAAAGTCATTAAATAGAACACCGCAGGTAGGGAGAAACTAAAATCACTACCAAATCCTGTACAGCCACAGCATTGCAAAGACAACAACACCATACCGCACTGTACTACTGCAAAAGAGGAGACAGTGTTTGTGTTACCACTAGTTCTGTTGAGTCGGTGCCACATTGATGGTGGTGGTTATAGTATTGGTATTGGTGTTGTTGCTGGTGAGTCGAATTGGTAGCAAAAGAAAAACCAAACCACCTGCCGGCTATGATCACGCTGATTGGTTGCAGAGGAAGAGCAGAGAGCATAAGCGGAGGAGAGCGCAACAGTTTTCTCGCTTTCAGCTCACTGCGCTGGACGCTGAGCAATGCGCGTATAAATAACTCACACTGCTGATGCCAACTGCATTAACGAGCAAGCCAGCGAGTCGAATAGACATCGAACAGAAACACAGAGTTCGAAAAACTAGTAAATCTTTTCAAGTCTAATTTTAAAAATGTCATTTCTTACGCGTGAATATCACTTCTACGAGTCGGAGTTAGCCGCCGCTAAAGATCAGCGCACAATGGCTATGCGCAGCGTCAAGAAGCTACTGCGTCCGCTAATGCGCATGATCAAGAAGAAGCAGTTGTTGCAGAAAACGCTCGCCGAAGTGAAGCAGCAGAATGATTACAATTCATCACTGGAGGATATGCGCAAAGATCCAGCAGCACTCCATGCCTACGATGACAATTTGGCCAATGAAGCTTTGGAGCAGCGCCTCCACGAGGAACTGCAGCATTGCGCCCCTGAAGCGGCGATCATTGTACGTCAAGGAGATAGTCAACAAATTGTGCCCGTGCAGCAACAACACTACATTCCTGTACATTTTGCGCGCACCGCCAATGGTACCTTCTTTTGGACATCCACCGATATGCAGCGCCAGCAGGAATTGCAATTGCGTCAACAGCTCGATCGTTGGGGTCAGGCGTAAGTTGGTTTCAGGGGTAGATGTGGTGCCGTAGTTCCAGCGTGTCAGTGGAGCTGCGTGGAAAATCACACTTGCTATGAAGCCACCATGGTAGCAGCTTTAAGCGCAACGGCCACTTTGCAGCCAAAGCGAAGCGGCACCTTTGCGCATGCACCACCGCGTCATGCACGCCGCCTGCCACGCGTGCGCGGTTTTAGCTTCCTATTTTTTGTGTACATATATTATTTTCAAATTTTGTAATTTTTCTTTTGTGAGAGAATATTATTTTGCGGTGATATTAGCTTTTAGTCGCATGACTACAAATTTTCATTTTATTTTTGAAAAAAGTAATTGATATTCAATTGTGAAAATTTTATTATTTTATTTTTTTTTTTTTTTTTTTTTTTTTTTTTTTTTTTTTTTTTTTTTTTTTTTGTAAATGCAGTGACAAATTTTTAATTTTGTCTCATTGTGATTTTAGTGAATTTAGGTGTATGTAATGTATGTATGTAGTTTTGAAATTGAATTTTTGATTCTAGGTTTAAAGCTTTAAAAATCATTTGTCTTCCTAATTTAGTACATTTAAGTGGTTTGCATTAGTCTAGGTAAATAGCGCTTATTTTATTTTTTTTCATTGTCTTCCATGTAAAACTTCGTAGGGAAAACTTTAGTTTTTAAGCGAAAAAATTGTAAACGAAAATTTAATAAAATAAAACACTAAAAACCGNTTTTTGTGAGAGAATATTATTTTGCGGTGATATTAGCTTTTAGTCGCATGACTACAGATTTTTATTTTATTTTTGAAAAAAGTAATTGATATTCAATTGTGAAAATTTTATTATTTTATTTTTTTTTTTTGTAAATGCAGTGACAAATTTCTAATTTTGTCTCATTGTGATTTTAGTGAATTTAGGTGTATGTAATGTATGTATGTAGTTTTGAAATTGAATTTTTGAAACATTCTAGGTTTAAAGCTTTAAAAATCATTTGTCTTCCTAATTTAGTACATTTAAGTGGTTTGCATTAGTCTAGGTAAATAGCGCTTATTTTATTTTTTTTCATTGTCTTCCATGTAAAACTTCGTAGGGAAACTTTAGTTTTTAAGTGAAAAAATTGTAAACGAAAATTTAATAAAATAAAACACTAAAAACCGAAAAAATATGTTTACTCATTTATATTCAGCTTTCAGCGATAAATGTATTTAATATGAAATTGATTGTACATGTCGAGAGTTACTAAAAAGTTTACTTTTTATGCCGGATAAATAGCCTATTTCTACTAAAGTCTTAACTACAGTTAAGAGCTCAGGTATGTTCCAACAATTTAATTTTTGGCTTTATCCTTTCGTTTTCTTGTCCCAATTAGGAGGAATTACCCCCTTCGAGTTGTAATCTCCTTCTTCTAATAGACATAAAATGCATTTAAGACTCGGTGGAAATGAACTATTACGTAGCGCAAAGAAATTATAATAATTGTAATGACAAAATTGGGCATTAAAAAATACTTATACAAATACTTTAAAGATGATGGCCACCATCGATTCGCCAACTGTTAGCGAATGGTGAAACGAGCGAAATCATTGTGGTACAACAAAGCTCGCCACCCTGCAATGCTACCAGTGTTGCCGTTTTGTAAAATCCAAAAATTTGGTTAAATAATTTTTCCCACTTTTAATTTTGGTAGAATGGTAAATTAGTATTTCATTTGGTAGATTGGCAGAAGATTTTCTCGACTTCATTTATTTCAAAGCAACGACAAGTATAATTTGAATAAGGCTAACATATTAGATGAAGAGAGTGTTTAACATTTTTTGGTTTTTTTTTTTTAGAAAAGGTTTGTGACATTTTTAAGGCAAGGTCCATAATGCCCTCCTTCGTAAAATTTCGCTGACTTCTGGGTTGAAAACTGATTCAAATGGTTTCAATTGACTTTTTCTGAAGATTATTCAGGGAGTTCTACATATATAAGTATATCAAATAAATGGAACAAGGTCTGAGTTAAATTGTAGAGACATCAACACCTTCCAACCGAGCGCTCTTAATATTTGTCGTGTGTGGTTCGGCGTTGTCATAATTCTGGTCGTTTTCAAATCAATCTAAATAATTTTTCGCAATACAGGGTGGAATCAGTTTTGGTCAGCGAGTAGCATTTCATAAAAAGTGTGCATTTTTGGTTACATACGGCACATTATAGCCCAATGCCTAAATATTTATGTCGGAAAAAACTGTTTCGATGTTCAAAATTTATTTTTTTATTTTTATTTAAATTTTATTTTACACATAAAAAACAAAGTATTTTTTAGCCATCCTTTTCTTGAAGTAGAATTCCAAAATGTGATGATTTTTCGTTGAAAATCGGCCTTGTTCACAACGATTGGACCGAGGTAGCTCTAGCACACATTTACTTTCTTGCAAAATCCATAAACTACAATAGGGCATGCCTTTTCAGCAGCCTAACACAATAGCAGACATTTATTTGGGTTTTAAACTTCTATTAAACTTAGTTTAAACGCCCGATCTGGCTGGTTTAAACTAAAATTAACCAATCAAATATCAGCCATCTGTTCAATTTAAACTCATTTTTCTTAAACTAAGTTTAAACTGGCACTGAAAGGCGGGTCCTATGAGTTTTATTTTATTTGGTCAGAAGTAATCATTATTTTTTGAGTTTTACTTTTTAGTCAGAAATAATGGTTATTCTTTGAGTTTTATTTTTGTGATCGGAAATAAAACTAATTTCTTGAGCGTTATTTTTTCTCCCCGAAATAAAAATTTATTTTGGGTTTTATTTTTTTTTTTTGCAGATCGAAAAACTGAAAACGAAACACTCCAACTAAGCTCACTACAAATCACCTCAACTCACCTCACCTCAACTGATTTACCTCACCTTAATTAAGTTAAGGTTGAAGGAGTTGAGTTTAGGTGAATGAAGTGGTGCGTTTTGAGCTGTTCGATCTGCCCAAACAAAATAAAATTCAAAACCCGATTTTTATTTCTGGGAGAAAAAATAGCGCTAATAAATTTTTTATTTATTTTTTTATTTTCGATCAACAAATTTAACTCAAAGAATAATCACTATTTTTGATTAAAAAAAACTCATAAAACATAAATAATGATTTTTGGTTGAAAAAATAATAATTGTTTCAGATCGAAAATTTAATACTCGAAAAATTTGTTTTTTTTTTTATAATAAAATTATAGCCCAAAAATTTATTATAGTTAATAATCGATTAGAAATTTAAAATCTCAAAATAATTATTAAATATCAGTTCATCACCTAAGGGTGAAAAGGCGCCAAATTCGTTTTTTTTAAACTGTTCAAAAACTAAATTTTGAAAAAAATGGACTTGTCACCTTTTCACCTTGAGGTAGCGAGTTTTTTTTTTGATAAAACTCATAATTATTAAGCCCTCTATAAAATATATAAATGCACATTGGGCTTTTTTTGCCTTTGCATGGCCGCATTAATTGAACACCGTTTCGTTTTTGAGTAATGAATATAACATTAAAATTCACCGCTTAAATCTACAAAAGAATATTGTTTCTTTCAATTTATGCAAATTTTTCTATGCACTTCTCTTTAGTACTAAGAATTCACGAGGAAGCAAGTATAAAAACGCATACAGCAAATGCTGTGTTCATAATGCCACTTGACATGTCGTCCCCTTTTACCAATTTGCATATCTTTGTAATAATCAAAAACTTCAAAGAAATGATGTGTAAACAAAGCAGAAAAATTTAAATGAAAAACTCTTGAACATAATGAGAAGTGTTTGCATGCTATGAGAGAGTAAATAACTCTAAAATCACAAACCTCTCCAAAGTCGCCGAATCCGAGTCCATGAAAAATCCAAAAACAAAAACAAAAAATAATGAAATTATAGTTTTCCAACATTCCAATTAAACACTCCATTGGCTGCAAAAGGTAATTTAAATTTTTTATTATTTTACCAATCTTGCCTTTAATTTATGCATATAATACACTTGGACGGACTAAAACTAAGTAATTTCCCAGCTCCACGCAGCACAGTGCACAATTTGGGAATGTCTACGTACAAAATCGTAAATCTCTTGACAGGAATAAGATAAAAATATGGAAAATAATGGGTTCGAATGTTGCCATAATGGCTTACAAGGCAAAAATACTGCCATTACATAATCATTATATTTAACATCCAAAAATTTTCGTTGAAAAATTTACTTTCGAAAAAATTGAACACTTTGGTCTTTAGTTTTATGGACTTTCCTTGTAGATTTTCAACCCGGGAATTCAAATTTGTTGTCAAAAGTTGACTGAAAAATCTTTTAGATGCCAGTTTTTTAAATTGAAAAATTGCATCTAAGTTTTCTACTTTTTAATCAGATTTTCCAGAATTTTTTGGAGTATGCAGTTTTGTAGTTAAATTAATATAATAAAGTTTAAGTTTTAAGTTGCTAAAAAATCGCTTTTATTTTTGATAATTTTTTTTACTGTATTACGGATTCTTTCGACACAAAAAAATGCCAAAAATCAACGCAATTTCTTGGCAACTTAAGACCTGCACTTTATTATACTCCAATTTAACTACAAAACTGCGTAATCAAAAAAATTTCTTGAAAATCTGATTAAAAAGTTGAAAATTTAGATGCAATTTTGTAATTTAAAAAATGAGCATCTAAAAGATTTCTTAGTGAACTTTTGACAATAAATTTGAATTCCTCGGTCGAAAATCTACAAGAAAAGTCCATAAAACCAAACCAAAAAACAAAGTTTATTTTTAAAGCTAGTAAGCAAAGTATCCATTTTTTCGAAAGTTCATTTTTCAGCGAAAATTTCTGGGGGTTTAATATAATGGCACTATTTTTCAATTATATTATGTCAGCGCTATTTGTTTTTTTTTTTTTTTCAATTATATTATATCAGCTTTCGAACCCATATTTTTATCTTATTTTTATCGAGAAATTTATCATTTTGTCTATCGGCACGATGTGTACACTGTGCGCCGCTAAATGAGCTGAGCTAAAACCATTCCATGGCAAGTGACCGACACTCGCCAGACAATTATGTTTAAGTNTCTTATTTTTATCGAGAAATTTACCATTTTGTCTATCGGCATTCCCAAATCGTACACTGTGCGCCGCTAAATGAGCTAAAACCATTCCATGGCAAGTGACCGACACTCGCCAGACAATTATGTTTAAGTTTATGCAGATACATCAATTTATGTACATACATACTATATGCATATACATTATGTATGCATGTGTACATTAGTGTGGTCCAAAAATGCACGTGGGGAAAAAGAAAATTCTGAATTTTAATGCTCTCATCCCCGAT